CCCCAAACTAGCCATTCAGTGACAGATGCCCGAAAAGCCAAGGACCATAGGAGATAGGGCATGTATCTGACAGTCTTGGAAAGAGATTCAAACTGGGTCATCAGAGGAGAGTTCAGGAACCAGGTTACTTTTTTTTTTTTTAAGATTTATTTATTTATTTATACAAGCACTGGGTACAGTCAGAAGTGCGGGAGGGTGAGAGAATTCACCAGAGCCAGAGCGGGGAGGAGAACAGGCAGACTGATGAAGTACACTGCTGAGGGGAGCAGCAGGCAGCAGGAGAAGTCTGTCACACCATGTGGGGCCCTCGCCGGAGGCTGGGGATCGAACCGGCACTGCAGAGGCTGTGGGCAGCTTTGCAACCCAGCGCTCAACCGCTGAGCCACTGGCGAGGCCCAAGAAACCAGATTACTTTCAAAGGCTGCAAAGCCACTAGAGGGCTAGTGGAGGCTGGTGACAGTGGGGCTTTCACTGTGTCTAGGTCTGGAGGGGAGGGGAGGTGCAGCCACCACCACCAGTCTGAGAGGGCCAGCCGGCAGGGGCTGTGACTGGTCAGTGGAGGAAAAAGGATCAGCACGAGTTAGCCTTGCAGGGAGGATCCCAGAACGAAGTCTACTGCCCTCCCACCCACCCCTCCCCATCTGAGCCAGAGTCAAGGGAGCCCTGCGATATAACCCCAAGAGCAGCCTTCCCGGACATGGAGCAGAAGGGGGAATGCATCTGGGGTTAAGCATAGGGTAGACTGAGGGGCTTGGCACTGGAATTCAGCAAGCAAGGTAGCCATCTTCCATACTCACCACCTCACACACCCACTGTGGCTCCCCACTTGCTATAGAATAAAACCCATTCCTCAGCCTGGCATTCAAGGCTCTCCACATTCAGGCTCCAACCTCCCTGCCTACTGGGCGAGCTACAGGCGCTTCCTGTACCTTCATGGTGACTCTGTGCACATCAGTATCGCTTCCTCAACATTCTGGAAAGAAAATGCTCTCCCAAGATGGCACAGCTGATGGGTGGCGGAGCTGGAATATGAACTGAGTCCCTGATGCCAAAGCCAATGAGTCCCCGTGCTGCCGTGCCTCCTCAGAGTGAGAGTTCACAGACTGCAGGAGCACATTCAGCTCATTGAACTCAGCCCAACTCACAGAAAGGGTCTCCATATGGGGGTGAGGGGACAGAGGAGGAGAGGAGAAAGGACTATGGATGGGGGGATAACAAATAACGACTTGTTGTTTCTCATTTCACTCTCAGAACAACTCCCTGGGGCAGGAATTATCCTCTGCTCAGAGTTGAGACACCAGAATTTCAGGAAGGTTAAGGACAGTCCCTGTCAGAGCTGGGGTTTGACTGAAAACCAGCTGGTTGTTGGCCATCTATAGAGTAGGGTCTGTAAGAGCCTCAAGCTTTTGTTTCCACCCCAAACCAGTGCTGTCTTCCTCTCTAAGAGCTTGGAAGCCCTCTGCCAGGCCAAACTGTGGGGTGAGCTCATCTCTGGAAGGCCCCTATTAGCATGAAACTATGTCACCAGGAAAGAGATGCATATTGGGCCCATGGTATGAGGCTACCCTTAGAGTTATCAAAAGTGTGTGTGTGTGTGTGTGTGTGTGTGTGTGTGTGTGTCGGTCGAAGGGCCCAGGTACCCAAACACCACCATTCAAGATCAGCTCCTTATTGGAAAAACGAAGGATGAAGGTATGGAATCAGACAGAGCAGGCTTGATGGGTCATCTGGGGAACCTCCCTCACAGGTGGCTTGCACAAGAGATCTAACAGCATGGTGTGATGGAAAGAAGGTTCCAGAGATATGAGTTTTAGCTCAGGATGGGCCATTGCATTGCTGTGTGTCTCTAGGCTAGTTTCTTGCTGCCCCCCTTCACTTTCTTTTTCTCCTATAAAAAGAGAGCAGTTAGGTAAGGGGCTAACACCCAACTCCCGGACAAAAGGCCCTCTTTACCGTTTTTAAGTTGTTGAGTTGCCAGAGAAAGGAGCTCCCTCTTTTTGTTTCCCATCTCCAGCTGGGGCACAATCTTGAGGATTGCTGAAGACACTGGTGGGATGAGTCCCCCGAGACCCCCTCCATGGGTCCTGTCTCCCTCACCCATGCCCGACGTGCTCAGAGGAGGCCTGTCGGCTGACAGCTGTGTCTCCCACCAGCACAGTTCATTTGCTGCCCTTCCTGGGAAGTGACAGCAACTCAGCAACTCTAAGCAAAGCAATTAGGATGAAAAAGAGGCCCAGATGCTTGGGGCCAAAGGAAAATAAACAGAGCGGCCCTGTGTGTATTCCACTGCCAAGAGGAGCAATTCTTCACAGGATGATTAGCATTTCCAACCTCTGTTTCCTCCCCTCCACTGGAGGCAGAGGACTGACCTCTGAGCTGCTGCTGTTCTCAAATCTCACTCTTCCGGAGGGTGCTGTGGACCCACGGGGTCATCACCTCCTCACGAGAGTCTCTCCTGCCACCAGACCCCTGCCAGAAATGACACCCCTGTCTCCTGAATTCCAAAAGCCTCTCTTGATGGGCTTTCTCCTTGATCAATTCATTCATTCTGTGGTAGCCACTGAGCACCATTCATTCATTCACTTGACATTCATTCATTTGCTTGACATTTATTAAGCCCCTGCTATGTTCAAGTTACTGTTCTATGTCCTGGAGATACCACAGTAAACAAAACAGACAAAAATCTCCGCTCTCAAGGAATTCAGGTTTTATAGGAGGAAACAGACACTAAAGAAATAAAAATATAGCATGGTAGGTGATGCCAAATGTTATAGAGGAAAATAAAACAGAACAAGGGAGCGGAGGGTGCAAAGAAGGGGAAAGTTGATCTCAAGCAGGGTGGTGAGAAAAAGCCTCAGAGGAAAGTAATATCTGGACAAAGGCCTATCGGAGGTGGGAAGTGAACTAGGTGACAGAGGAAGGTGTGCTTGACAGAGGGACACAGGTACAAAGGCCCTGAGGTGGGAGTGTGCCTGATATCTTTAAAGAATAGCAAGAGGTAGTGGGTGGCAGTGGGCAGGAGGTAGGGGTGGTAAGAGATGAAGTGTAGGAGGAGATGGCATTTCATCAAGAAGGCTCTGGCCACCACGAAAAGAGACTGAAGGGAGGTGAGCAGGGAAGCAGGCCCTGGGTGGAGTGTGGGAAGGCCCAGCTTCTTCTGCCTCTGCCAGGTAGTGTTATATATAAGGAAAGCAGAAGAGGAAATCTTGGAATGCAAGGCATTCAGGGCCAGGGTCAAGGAGAAAGTTTGTGGAAGATTAGCATGAGCTCTAGTGAGCTGGGCTGCAGGGCAGTCAGGGAGGTTCAGGAAAATGCAACTTGTGTTAGTGTGTATGGTGTGTGTGTGTGTGTGTGTGTGTATCTCTGAAAGGACTGTTTTCTCAGAGTGGGTCGCTGGGCTAGGTCAGAGAAATTTCAAACAGGTCTAGAGGCTTAGTAACCCCTAGGTATCTCCATAATTTGCCCACCTGTACCTCCATAATTTGCCCACTTGTACTTAGTCTGTGCCCCCAAATCACTTGAAGTAGTGGCCAAGTTTAGGTGCTGAGGAATGAGAGGCTAAGAACCTGGAGTCCTGGGTCCTCTTCCACTTGACTGGTGACATGACTTTTTGTTGGTTTTCTCACCTGTAACCCAGGCATGGCAACCATCCTTGCTGGGTGGAAGGTTAAGGGAGGAACACTAGAGTCTTTTTTTGTGAGGCCAGAAAGTAGGCTGGGTTATGAAAACCTCTCCCACTTTTCCTGGAAGGGAGGGAGGAGATATGAAAGTGCAACTGCCCATCCTCCCCATCAGGGCCTTAACCAGTTTGTATCTGGGATGGGGAGGAGTAGGTCGTTCGTCTTCCAGCAAGATCCTAAGCAAGAGAACCTGAGGACAGTTCATTTTCCTACAGAAGTAGGAGGAGACAGGGCTAGGCCCAGGAAAATGGATGAACACCAAGGAGAGGACATACAGAGATATGGGTAATAGGGAGGGAGTGTTAAGGAGACAGGCAAAACAACCATCTCAGAATGTCAGCCTAGCGGGAGGCAGCACGAAAACAAGCCTGTGGTCATGGGTCCAAAGTCAGGCTCTGCTACTTCCTACTTGTGCCTCTTCCAATTACATCACTTTTTTTTTTTTTCAGAGGGGAGGATGTTGTAGAACTGTCTACAACTTAAAATTCTTGCAAAACTTAAATGAGTACACTGGAAAGCTCTCTGAGAACACTCTTGTAATGCACAAAAGACATCTCAGAAAGAGTCACTCTGAATCAAGGAACAACCAAACCCTGGCAGGCAGTGGCCTGGTGAGCTGAGCCATGCAGCCAGCTGCAAACAAGTCCAGACACAAAACTCTCTAGGCTGAAAGCCCCTGACCTCACAGACCTGGTGCTCATGGATCTCAGATGTCAAGGTTGCAAGCATCAAGATGTTCATCATTGGGCAGAAGGAGTGAGCAAGGGGAGGACTCTACTGTTAAGAAAAATTATCCAGGGCCTCCCTTGTGGCACAAGGAGTTGTGCTCCCTGTAAGCACAGCACTGTGAAGCTATATGCAGCTACTGCAGCAGAAGTTCGATCCCCAGTCAGCCAGGGAGCTACCCACATGGCACAGCAGACCTCTCCTGTCTTGCCTGCTGCTCCCCTCAGTAGTGTATTTCAGTGGATCTGCCTGTTCTGCTCCCCACTTTGCCTCTGGTGAATCCTTTCACCCTCCCCCTGCATCTCTGGCCTGCACTCAGGCTCTTGCATTCATAAATAAATAAATCTAAAAAAAAGAAAAAGAAAAAGAAGTAGGCTAAAGGAGGACTGCGTGTCCTGTCAGTGTCATTCTGGAGCAGGGTTGAACAACTCAGTTATTTCATTCTCTAGGGAATGTACCTTTGTTTTACAATTTACTGTTGATTAGAGTCCTGACTTTGTGAAGTTACATGCTAACTTGCAGCTGCATGTACAGGCACATATGCATGAAAATGCAAAAGATTTTAGTCCAGTAGAAAATTGTAAAAGCCATAGTTTTATTGCCCTTTAAAACATTATTAACCAGTTTCATCTCTAACTTAACAAATGTATTTCAGCACGTCTTTTCCAGTTAACTATACAAATCTCTGACTTTTAAATGTTCCTTTGAATCAGCTTTCTTCTGGGTCCTTAATTAATGAGTTAAATCTTTGACACATGACCATAATTACACTTTGACAAGAGCCAAAAGTAAGGGGCTCTGCCATGCTTTGGTTCTGTCTGGGCCTCTGAGCCTCACCTATATCTTTGGCCACACAGAGAAGGTCCCCAGTTCTCAAGAGTAAGAAGAAAGACAAGCAACTGCTTTGCACATCATTGCAAGAAACAAAGTCATGGTATATTGTTGTCATTCATCAGATTAGGCTGTTCCAGACTAGGTCCTGGGCTTCTGAAGCCTGCATTCTCCAGGGCTGAGGACATAGGGTCAGGGGGAAAGGCCCTTAGGAAAGCCCTGATGTGCCATGCTGATGCTACACTGTCCATTTCCCATGAGGCTAGGATTGCCCCTGGGCCTCAGGTCCTGGAGGATGGAAACTACTCAGGACTACTCCTGAGAAGTCTGCCAAGGGGCATGGAGAGGCTGGAGGAATGGAGAGGGCATGTGACCAGAAGCCAGGGTTGGGGGTATTCTAGAGGAGCACCAGGTCCTTGCTAGTGGCCCTTGCACCCTGGGTTCTTTCAGGACCTCATCATTTTATTATGCAGGCAGGAAAGTGCCCCAGCTCAGTGGATGGCACAACAGCATCTCCACCCATGCTATCTGCATACATGCCAGGCTGCACATGCACACGGAGTGCACTGGCACCCAGAGCCCAGTGAGCAATGCAGACAGTCATGGTCAGGGGCAGCCAATCCTGCAGAGGAAGGAGGTATAGCCCCAAAAGAGAAAGAGAAAAGGTATTCAAAGCCCAAAGAGCAGAGGCTCGGGGGGAAAGAATCAATCTGTAGAATGTGGGGGAGAGAATGAGACTTGACAACTTGGAAGATGTCTCATCTGCACTGAAGCAGTCAGACCTGGCCACGATCAGGCTTGTACCTAGAGTGACCTGAAGTCACAAAAGTTAATAGTGTACTGCCTCCGAGGTGATGCAAAAAGGAAGTGGGAAAGGAATTTACAACTGGGTTCTGGGATGAGGATCCCCACATCCCATTAGGGATGTGGGGAGCCCTTTCTCTCTTATAGTGTCACTCCTGTTGTCTCCACCAGCCTAGACTCCTCCCCAAACACGTCCAGCGACATCTGCTCCACCTTTAAGGCTAGACTTACAGACTTCTTCCTTTGCTCCAGCCTCACCATCTCCTTCTGAGCTTTCATTCCCTCTACACTCTGTACCTCCACTTTCAGCAGCTTATTATCCTGCCTGCCTTCTTCATAGAGCATATATATATACTCCTGGAATGAGGTCTCTTTCCTCTTCCTATTATCCTGATGTGACGTCTGTATTTTATTATACTGTAAAATCTGGTTTAGTTTAGTGTTTCATGTTTTGGTTTTTTTTTTTTTTTTTTTTTTTTGGCATGGCCCTACCTTTGTGATCAAGACAAGTGTGTATAAACCTTTTGTTGTCCTGTAATAGTAAAGTTTGAGTCTTTCTGGGCTATACTCTCAGCTTTGTGGATCTCCATCTGGCAACTAGTCATATCAGGCCTAGCACTGCTCAGGGCACATTGTAAGTACCCAATTCTTGCCTATTGATTGGCAGTTTACATCACTTAATTCCATAATCCCTCCCTCCAGCCATCTCCTTGTCACCCACCAGTTGTCAGCTCTCAGCAGGGCAAAAGTAACTTGAAGGTTAATATCTCAGTGTCCTCGCTGATCCTTGCGTTCCTTGGACATGTTCGTCATCAGAAGGCACAAGACCCCAATGTCTTAACCAGGGAGACAGTGCCCAGGATCTCCTTAGGCCAGGCTCTCAGACTCAGCCATGGCTTAGGAATGACTTGGGCCATCCCCTGGGTTCACAGCTCTGGAGTAGAGGAGGCCACAGGCCCCGGGGGGCCCGGCGGTAGCCTCAGGAGAAAGGTCTGCAAGGAACCTGGCCGTGGGAAGCCGGCCTTCTCCCTGAGCAGTCGCCAAGTGCCAGCCTCGATGGCATAGAGCAACGTGAACATGCGGTTGACGGTATAGACGGTGTCCCCCCGCACCACCGCGGTGAAGAGCGCGCCCTTGCTATTGACAAACTGGCCGGGAAGCGCCGTCCACTGGCCCGTGGCCAGGTTGAGGCAGTCGATGGCGCAATGCAGGAAGTCATCGGAAGGTCCGTTGCGCACCACATAGAGGCTGTCGCGGTGGGCCACCATGCAGTGCCCGTAGCTCTGCGGACGCCGCAGTTCGGCCACCTGCAGCCACGTGTCGGCCCCCACCATGTACTCCACCACAGCCGTGGTGTCGGCCGGTCGCCACAGACACACGAAGAGGCGGCCACACGCCTGCGCGCAGGGCGCGCCGGCGGCGGGCTGAGGCAGGTCGGACACGAAGCTCCAGCGGCCAGCGGCTGGGTCGTAGCACTCCACGGAGCTCATCGGGGTCCTCTGGAACTCGCCGCCGATGGCGTAGAGGCGGCCTTCGAAGCCCACCAGGGTCGTGTCGTATCGCGGTTGGTGCGGGCTGGGGAACTGGCACCACGTGCCGCCGTCGGGGTCGTAGCAGAAGCCCAGCTCCACCACCTCCTTGCTGGCACCCCGCACGCCGCCCACGATGTAGAGCTTGTTGCCCAGCGTGGCCACACCCGCCAGCAGCGTGCTGGCCTCCAGGGGCAGCGTGGCCAGCGTGCGCCAGGTGTCCGCCTCCTCGTCCAGGTAGCACATGGTGCGCGACGCGTCCTCCAGGAAGCCGGGCGCGGGCGTGTGCGTGCTCAGGGCCACGTAGCTGCTGGGCCTCAGCGCCGCCACATAGGCGCGGGCCTCGGGCAGCGCCAGCTCGGCCGCCAGCTCGCACGCGCCGTCGCGGATGAAGAGCGCCGCGCTGTGGAACACGTCTTGCAGGCCGAAGGCGGCGGCCGCATCGCACAGCAGCGCGCAGTTGTCCGACGTGAGGCTGTGCTGCAGGAAGCGCGCCAGCGCCGGCGCCTGCAGGAAGGCGGCGCACTCCACGGCCTGCAGCAGCTCGTCGGCGGCTGTCAGCGCCGGTCGCTCGCCCCGGAGCACCTGCAGCGTGGTGCGGAACCCGCCGGCGCTCAGAGCGCCCAGGCGCACCTCGGCCGCCCGCGTCTCTCGCATGCCCGAGCGGAAGAGGCCGCGGAAGAAGTCGCAGTGTTCCACCAGAAGGGCCTGGTCAGCCTGGAAGAGCTGGCTGTCCACCCACACCTGCACCGGGACCTCGGGACCCTGAGGCATGGCCAGCCAGAGAGGTAGAGGCTGCCTCTGGGGGCTCTCGATTCAGCAGCCACCGACTGTGGGGCTCCCCCGGAGTAGGGAGGGGGGATAAATCTTCCCCCGAGGCTATAAATATCTTCCTTTCTAAAGATAGTACGGCTCATGTGATGTGGTGGCCGACAAGCTGGATGGCCACTGGACCAGAGGGCATTGGGAGACCTGCTGGGTCACTCGCTTCCGAATGAGATGTAATGATAATAGTGACCATATACTGATCACTTACTGGTGATCAGCTACTGTGAGGGCAGCTTACAAAGTGAGCCCATATAATACCTGCGCTGAGCCAAATGTATACCCTTCTAAGTACCTTAAATCTGGCCCTCTGTTCTCTCAAATTGGGGCCCATAATAGCACCTATGTTATGGTATTGGGAAACTAGTTGTAGTGTTCGAAATGAAGCTTTACACGACGTATCCAAGATCATTCAGCTGGGAAGGGGCAGGATTAATGTCTAACCCACTGCATCCATAGACCCGTAGGGGCAGGGAGCAGGCACTAATTACTTGGCCATTGGAGGGAGGGGCAGAGATGGAGCAAATAGAATGGGCCAGAGCCCACATCTGGGCTCTAAATTGGCCTGGGTGTCTGCCCCTGACACAGCTAAACCAATATCTTCTTTCCCTATAAATATGGGAGGGCAGCAGGTGAGCATCCAGTAAACTCTGAATGTCCAAGTGCTTTCTGACTTGGGATGGGATGGAATGCTGATATCTGTTTCCCAATTGCCAGGACCCTTCATTGCTGTGTAGATCCAGACCTTTGGAAAAGAAAAGTGGGGCTGCTGAGGGCATCGTGTAGACTGGGAAGAGAAAGGCTTTTTGAAATGATACAGGTTAATACTTGAATATCACAATGTCAGGCACCTTTATAAGCACTTTAATTCCGATAATCCAACAATCTTGTGAGTAGATACTGTTGTTGCCCTTCATTTAATAGATATTATCCCTTTATTGCTTATAGTAACAGTATGTTAGATATTATTAATGCCACCCTTTCACAGATAAAGAGACCAGGTCACCAAGATGTTTAATCACATGCCCAAGGTCACATCGCCATAGAGTAGCAGAGCTAGGAGAGTCATGCAACCAATCTGATCCTAGAGCCTGTGTCCCTAACTACTGCATTCTGCTGCCTCTCTATGCTTCAAATGCTGGACAGTCACCTGGTACCAGGAGGTCCCAGTAGGAACCTGGGGTTCTTGTGGTATAACCCCTTCCCATTTACAGTGGGAATGGGAATTTCCAGGGGGTCAGGTAGGTTGGAGCAGACAGGCCCAGGCTTTTTGCTGCCCATCCCAGAGCACTTTTCCCTACTCATAGAAATTTCCTAGGTGAATAGATAAGACTTGGGCCCCAGAATATCAGGTGGAAGGGAGCAGAGTGATTTTCTTCTCTTGCTACCTCATTCTGCAGGTGGAGAGGCCCAGCGTGTGTATCAGTTCGGGAGATAATCAATCGCTGCCTTTCTTCAGGAGGGTGAATGGACTCACAATGGCAAAGCCAGAGTTAGAGGGTGAGTTTCCTCCACCCTAGGACACACTCATGCACACACTGTCACATATAAATCTGCATTCACAAATGTGCCTTCCCTGCCAGGGAACTCCCACCCAGTTCATTCCATCACATCAGGACTGGGATGTGGGGACCACTGTGAGGCCTGGGAAGCCAGATGCCTGGAGGAGGCAGCTAGAAATATCCTGGATACTCTGCCCCAGGGACTAGACAGGAAGAGGAGGAGGAGATGGAGGGAGTAGGCAGGAGACCCCATAAATACTATCCCAGGCCCTCTGCCAGCTTCTTTGTTTCTCTGAGATCAGACATTGGCTGAAGGGACCTTCAACATCTGGACAGCAGGCATGATGGTCCCTCTCTTGGAGGAAAATGGACTCTGCTGTGCCCATTTATGATCTCTCCTTGCCGGGGGCCTTTGGGAGAGGGGGACTGTTCTCATTTCATACCTGAGGAAAGAAGGCCTGCAGATGGCAGGAGCTTTTCCTTGGTTAGCTCAAACCTAGCTGCTCTCCTCACCTGCTCGGACCTAGTGTCAGGAAGGAAACAGCTGCCTCCCACCAGGCTTAAGCTGTGGGGCAGGGTCTGGGAAGGGAGGGCCTGACCCCAGGGGGCTTCAGTTCCCTTCCACATGACTTGTTCCAAGCACTTAGTAACTCACAAGCACAACCAGATGGAATCCCTGCCTGGGGGAAAAGACAGCGAAGCCCCCTTGGCCGAAGCTTGCACCCAGGCCCATTTTTTCTTAACTCCAGCCCTGGCAAGTGGACTAGGGCCTAGTGCACACACCCAGCTCCCACCCCAGCAGCCAGGCAGTGGGGAGGGGTCATCTCCAATGAGGGGTCATGGTTCTCAAGCTAATCCTCAGCTCAGCTCTTTGGCCCTGCCTCTAAGGCCCCAGTGGGGTGTTGTCTGCAGCCGATGAGTTTCCTCCTCTCTGACAGTGAGTGTCCCTCTGGGACTTGGAGAGGACAAGGAAATGTACTGGCTGTGGGCAGCCCACAGAGTTCCCAGGCCCTGCCCGACCCTGCACCAACTTCCCTCTCCACTTTGCACCCACCACGCTCTGTGAGGTTGGGGACAGGGCAGGGAACAGAGCCCTGTGTCAGACTCTCAGAGTCTTTCTAGATAGAGCACACACCCAGCCTTGCGCATCTCTATTGGCAGTGAGTACGAGTTAAGGTATCTGTTAAGTGCATTCCTGGCTCCTAACCTAAGTAGCAGCCCCCAGTCTAATAGAGGAGACACAACCCCTGTTCCAGGAGAGAATCCAGTCTGATGGAAAAGACATAGCCTTTACCCTGGGGTAGGGGTGCGGAGCTGGTCTTGTCATGCCTGGTGGTGTTTCTGCCTAGAGAGTAGTAACAAGCAGTAACAAAAGTTGCCTGGACCTGAAGATGGGCGAGCACTGGGCCAGGAGTCAGGATTCCTGCTGGGCTCTGATGCTGGTACCACCACTTGCAAAAGCTACCCAACCTTTTTGGGCTCCAGAGCATGGATCTGCTTTCTAGAGTTCCTTTTAGCTTTGACACCTGAATTTATCACTGAAAAACCACAGAAGTGGTTGTCATGTTGTGGCTCCAGGGAATGTAGTGACATTGCTGAGGGGCCCCAAAGGCTTGGCCTGATGTGGCTCCTGAGGGGCCTCACAGGTCCTGCCTGTCTACACCTGTGCATGCTCAACTTGTTCCCTCCAGAAACATCTACTGAGAACCTGCTATATGCCTAATACTTGGCCGGGTGCCACATTCTCTGCATTTTGAGTGTCTGAGAATAAGAGCCTTGAAGGTGACAGGTTAGGTGGGGTAATAAGGAGAATTGGGCTACTTACTTTAACAGAAAAGCCTTTCTCTTCACCTGAAGTGTCCAAAGTTCTGGTTACTAAGCAGTTGTGGCTTCTTGGTGGGTGGATGAGAAGTATGTGCTATTCATGTCCAGGGGAAGGGAACTATCATTTGCTTTTTTGGACTATGGACCAAGCTCTGGTGGGCCTCTTTCATGTTATCTAATCCTTAATATTATTCCTGTTTTAAAGATGAGGAACTGAGGTCCAGAAGGGCAAAGTTACTAATTACAGGGTCTCACAGTAAGTGACTTGTTCTGAAGGCATTTCTAGTCCACAAGGGGCACTCAGGGTGCTGGACAAGCAGTTCAGATGAGACTGAGGATCGGGGGAGGGATTGGTCACAGTTATGAGGTCAACACTTTCTCCCTGGGCCCTCAGAGGAGTAGACTCTGGGCAGTGAGCTGAGGGGCTGAGTGGCAGCTGGCAACAAGTCCAAATAATCCTAAAGTAGAAGGAAATTAAGGGCCATCTTATCCTATCTTGCAAGCCATCATGGAGTCTCTTCTATAACCTTAAAGTCACTACCCCCTTGGTTGTCTTCAATGTTGAGGGCTTCACTTCCTCCAAAGAAAGTCCCTTCCAATTTTGGACAGCTCAGATGGTCAGAGCTCACCTTCACACTGAGCTGGAACCTGCCTTCTTGCAGCTCCCAGCGACAGGCTAGTCAGAGTTAAGATCAGTAAAGTAACTCCCCCAGCATCACACAAACAGGTAAGGAGCAGAGAGCCCAGGTTTATACCTGATTGGGCCTGCAGGGGCCCAGTCCTTGCCTTCTCTCCAGCAGCCCTTCAGTGAGACTGGTTCTCTCCCCCACAGACTCCATCCAGACCCAGTCTGTCCTCACAGGACTGTGGCTAGTCCAGGCATATAGCTGGAACTTGGCTCCTACTTTCTCTCCTCCCACAACTCAAAGGAAAACCCTTTGAGTGATCCTAACCTGAGGGTGTAACCTAAACAATTTCCTCCCAACACCTCAGAGTTTTAATAACACAGCTGGATTACTATGATCTCCCAGAAACACAATTAGGCTGAGTCAGTATTCATGTCCTGTCCTGGAAAATAATTTTCATTCTTGGTGGAGAAGTTATTAGCATCAAGTTCTGGCACAGCTCACCCCTGTGAGCCCCCGCTCCCTCCTGAGTTTCCCTGGTTTCTGCATGTATGTGGGTCAGCAGATTCGGAGGAGGTGTGGGAGGAGGTTAGGGTTGGAGAAGGGTTGTAGTCAGGCGTCTCTGAGACTCCCATGCCTTTCCCCATTTTAGCCTGGATGTGTTCCAAAAGAGATCCCTGGGGTTCTAGAAAGTACTTGGGCCTGGAGCCCAGGGCTGATTCTATCACTATTGGGCCTCATGGATTTGGGATTGATTTTCCTCTTCCCCTTCCTTTAGTACTATAGATGGGGACACCACAGTCTAAAGAAGTGAGGTGACTTGCCAGAGGTCACCCAGTAGAAGAGCTGGCACTAGCTCCTAAGTGTCCAGATTCCCCATGGGCCCTTTGCCCTGTTTCCAGCATGACCAGATTTACCCTGGCTCCCATAGCAAATGCAACTCATCCCTGCCAGGCTCACCCAACCATCCCAGAATCATCATAAGCAAGAGGGAGCACCAGGTTTTAGAATAAATAAAATGCCCCATTTAAACATTAGGCTACAAAAAACATGCAACTCATAGGATCCCATCAGGAAGAAAGTAATATAGATGCATTAGGTATCTTGATCTGGACTCACACTGGCCATGAAATGTTAGTAAAGTGACATTCTCTTCCCAGGAGCTGTTTCTGTAATGTTGCAGAATCCCCACACAGCAGGGCCAGATAATGTATTCGGGAAAGTAGAGTGCCAAGGCTAAGCTGGCTGTGACCTAGAGAATGGACAAAGCGTTGTGTTGAACCAGGCAGACTTCCTGGAGGAGGAAGCAGGTCAGCTCAGTAGAACAAAGGGACGGGTGAATTTTCTTGTTGGTGGGAAGAGACTGAGAGAAGAAGCTGGAACCATCCTTCCTCTCCATCCTCCTACCCGGGGCTTCCTCTCTCCAGTCCTGGTCCTCCCCCTGTCCGGGACTTGGAGCCTTCCAGACAGGCGGGTGGGCACCCAGGTCCTTGAAGCCCAGCTTGGCGTTGAGGGGCACGACCGACCACAGCTTCCTCCTGGCGGGGAGCGCAGGGAGCTTGCCGGGCGGGGGGCTCCCGCAGTCCTTACAAGGAGCTTGGCGGTGCTCGGAGCAGCCCCGCCCGCCGGGCTCCCGCGGCCCCACCTCCCCGCCGGGACGGCCGGCCGCAGGGACGCAGCCCTCTCGGCTCTCGGTGTTGGGCCAGGGGCGCAGACCACGACGGTGTCGGCGCCTCGAGTGCAGGGAGCCGGAGCCTCGCTCCCGAGGGCCCCGACGGGCGGGTGGGCGCTCTGCTCGGGGCCCTTCGGCCGAGAGCCTGTGTCCCCCTCAGCAGCGTCGCCATGTCCTCGGTGTTCGGGAAACCCCGCGCTTGCAGCGGGCCGCACTGCGCACCCCTCGAGGTCAACCTGGCCATCCTGGGGCGCCGTGGGGTGGGCAAGTCCGGTGAGTGGTGCTGAGGGCTGGAGGGAAGGGATTCGTAGGGAACCCAGAGACGGGGCGCAGGTGGAGGTAACCGGTGCTGTAGATTGCAGGCAGGCTCTTCCGCTGGCTTTGGAGGGCTTCCTGTATCCAGGTAAGTTGGGCAAGACACGGTGCTGGGCTGTGCCTCAGTTTTTCTGTTGCTTGGCTCTCTGCTTTGTTCTCAGGTCTTCCCTCTTGCATCCTCTGCCTTCCTTGCCAGTCTCTCCCTCTGTCTCCACGCTGCAGTCCTCTGGTCTGTGATCACAGCGGCCTCTCCTCCTGTGGTCTCTGTGTCTCAGGTCCCTGCCTGATGCTCTTTCGCAGGCGACCTCCACCCCTCAGCTCCTCTCCCTGGGGCTAGCAGAGAGCCACGGTGACTGGCACCAAAGGTACTTACCTGTTAGGCACTGATTCCCAGTCCAGGACCCCTATTAGCTTAGTTGCAGCCTTGTTACTCCCTGATTTAGACTGGGGGGTGAAGGAACCCATGGCCCCAAGAGGCCCTGGTAGCAGTCACTGGCTGCTGGGATGGGGGCGGGCTGCACTACCCACTCCCCATCCCAATTCGCTAGGATTCTGGAACAAAGCCCGCATTCTTATCAAATGTATTTGTTTCCAGTCAGCTCCCTCTCTTGATTTTTCTGGAGACACTTTGAACTATGGTCCTGGGTGCCTGGGACTTGTCCTTGAACCAGGAGTTTGGGCCTCCATTGAGATCATTTCTATGAACACTGAACTCTGCCTTCACCACTCCTGTCAGCTCTTACCAACTGGAGCCCAGGAAGGTGTGGGTTGAGGCATCATCTCAGATAGGGACGCAGAAAAAGAGCCCATCACTCCCCCTGCCTCTCACAGTGCCAGGCAGCGGAGAGTGGGAGAGCAAAGGGGGATCCTCCACTGGCTGGTTTCCAATTTAAGCCATTAGTATGTGGCCAACATGGACTCAGCTATGCATTTCCTTCCCCAGAGTGTTCTTTGAGACTCACTGGGAGCCTGCGCTCCACTTTTGAAGCCAGCTCCCTGGCTCATAGAGGGGCCACTGATCATGCTTTCCTACAGAAAAGCTTTGCCCTTTCTTCTTTGAAATTCAAATTGTTATCCATGGCTGTGTCACTGGTACAGTGTAGTCAGTGACTTACATGAATGAAGGAATTTAAATTTTAAAATATGTCTTGCTTGAGAATTAGTTTGCAAACTGACACTGGTAGGAATCCTCAGAAAGAATTTTAAGGATTTTCTTTAAAGTATCGCATTACTTTTTAAGAGTCCAGTATAAAAGTTGGCTGGCCTTTGGCTTTATGTGGTAAAATTCTAAGCAAAATCACTCAAGTTAATGCATTTCACCTGGGGAGAACTGACATTTTAGAGATTTTCTGTGAGACACCCACAAAGAGTGTGGAGGCCTTAGACTTAAGGGAGACTTGAGATGTGGAGAACTCTTCTAGAACTCCATCCAGGCACTTGGGGGTTCAGGCTCTGCCAGGAATCACCTTCTGGCTAACTCTGCTCACTCTCTCTTTGGTATATATTCAAAGCTGGAACAAATGCCCTAGATTTCAGAATCTTCATGACTTTGTCTAGGGTGGGGATGTTTTCCTTTGGGTTCTCACCAAGCTGGCCCTAAGGTAACTGATTGCCTGGATTCTGACATCTGAGATGGGGCCTTCACAAACACCCTTCAGGTTTCCTTGCCATTAATAATAATAATAAAATCCTAGGATGGAATTGGAGGAACATGGCTCCCCATATTTCTGACTTCTGAGCTACTCAAACCCACTTCTCAGCTCCCTGGCCTCACTCCCACAAAGTGCCAGCTTGGTGTCAGTCGTGGGTCATAGAGGCTAGACAAAGCCTCCCTAAAACAAGAGGAGTAGTCTCCCACAGGCAGACAAGGGAAGGGAGACTGAGCCAGCTTCTCTCTGCTTCTTGCAGCCCTCACTGTGAAGTTTCTGACCAGGAGGTTTATCAGCGAATATGACCCCAACTTGGGTAAGGAACCACTGCTCCCTACTCCTCCCGCTGTGCCCCATTTGGACACCCCCCCCCTTCATACCTATACTACACACCTGAGGGCCCAGACCTCACCCAGACTGCACATCTTGGGGGGTACGGGGGAGAGGAGGCACCACCAGGATAACTCAGTTCATGGAGCAAAATATTTTAAGTGCCAGAAATATACCCTTCCACAGCTCACCCCAGACTTGGGGCTTGGCCTAGTTCAGAGAACCGAGAGAGGCTGATTTTCCCTAAAATATGATGTATGATGAGACTTAAAAAATCAAACAGAAAAAAAATCAGAATTGTACACATCCCTTAAGTGTTGTTCTTCAAGATGTACTCAGTGTACTTTTCCCCAAAATCCAGCCATCCACTTGGGAAACTCTCTAGTGTTACCGGCTGGCTTCTGATCTTCTAAGCTAACTCTTTGGACCTGTGAAAAAGCAGTCTTGTTTTTCAGCCATTGCATGGTATATCAGGAAAAGGGGTGCTTTGGTATCAGTCAGAACTGAGTTTAAATCCTGGCTCTGCCACTTATTGACTGTGCAACCTGTAGTAGTCACCTTGCCTCTCTGAGCTTCTGTTTCCTCATCTGTAAAATGGGCATAAAAATACCTGTTTCAGAATTACCGAGAATTAAAGCAATAACACATATAAATGACCAAGCCTTGTACTTTACACACAATAGACACTCAAAACATATTCACTTCTTCTTTATCCTTCTTCCTCAAATGGCTTATCCATCTATGGTGACTCAGAATCCCTCAGATTAATCAGATCAGCTTTTCTGAAAATTATTTTTAGCAGCAGGACCCATTCTTCAAACAACCGCTGACATAGAAACTCAATATCTAAAACAAATGAAAGCAGAATTTTACTAACATAAATATAACTTAAAGTTCACATTTATCACATGTGTTTGTTGTAAACTGTCCACTGAGAAAAATGGGATATCCGGATGTTCTTAGCCTTTTGAAAATGAGGATTGCAGTCTTGGATTATTTTTTCTATTCATAAGAATTGAGTAAGCATTTGTGGGACCCCCAGGGCCCTTGGAGAAAGCCCAGGCACTGGGGCAAAGATTGGAATTCTCTACGATACACCATGCTCTGCAGCAGGCCTCTGAGGGAGTGCCACTATGACCCCAGAGGAAAGAGCTCCTTGCCTCTGGGTGCCCAGTCCCTCAGTGCAGGCTGGACTATCAAATCCCAGGCATCTCAGGGTTTTTAGAATTTTTTCCTTAAGTGGGAAATCCCCTCTTCCAAGGAGATCTTAAATAGTGCCCCAGGCTGCCAAACAGAGGAAGTGGTGGGATCCCCCTGGTTAACTCAGGGGTGCAGTCCAAATCACTCACCGGTAGCTCCCAAGGGATTTGGTGCCACCACCTGTGCTTTGACACAACCTTTTGGAACTGAGGCTTCTGGGCCAAGGTCACACAGCAGGTCTGAGGAGAGCACATTTGATCAGCACCCAGCAAAGTGAGACACAGGATGAGATTGTGTGTGCTGGCCGGGGAAGTTGATGAGAGGGTCTAGAATAAGCAACCAGATGGGGTGGAGGAACTGAAGAGTGTGTGGGGGGAATGAAGATTCCCAAAAATGGTGCCTCAAAAGAAAGATTCTGCCTAGCTTAAATATTGCATAGGGCATCCTTGAACTAAAAATTATTTGTTCTTTATCTGACATTTAAATTTAAACGGGCATTCTGTATTTTACTTGGCACCCTGCCTCTATTCGCTCATCCTCCCTGCCCCCTCATCCATACCCTTCACAAGGGGCCCCGCTGGAGGAGCCTATAACTGTGGTGGTTTGAGCTTCCTGATTAAGTAATTTCGGAGCTCTGACCTGGTAGTGGAGTGTGTGGTCAGACTGTCTAATCCCTGCTGTGATTAGTCACCTCAGCCTTTGGTCTCTCACTCCACCCTGAGAGCCTGTGAACTGGAACGAAGGCCAGACACTCTCTCCTCAGGTGGTCTGGGAGGCCAGTGCCAATCTTTGGGAGTTCTGTCTCACTGTCTGACTACTAGCCCATGACTGGTTCCAGCAACAGCAGGACTCTGGGCCCAGAGCTTTTCCTTCTGTGGAGAAAGTTCTGCCTGTGCAGGGGCAAAGTTAGCCATTAGGGGATATAAACAGCTCTTGGCCCTTTGCAAAGGTCTTTCAAGAGCTTGAACTCAAAGAGAGCCTCTCAAGGGTGGAAACCTGTGTTATGCATTCCCATCCCCAGCAGGAACGCAACACGACATAGAGGCTCTTAAGCATGAGCTTGAATCTGGGTTTTAGGATTACCCTTTAGAGAAGAGCTCCTAATATTCCCATTTTACAGGTAGAGAAACTGCAGCAGAGAGGCCTCCATGATCTGCCTAGAGGATCATGCAAAACCTCAAATACAAAGGAAGACAGGACACCACTCCCATTGCTCTCCACTAAGGGCAGCCTTATGTGTAGAGAACCTGGGGTCAGAAGCCTTTGTGGAACTGAACTCTCTCAGCCTAAGTTTCCCCATCTGCCAGATGGCACTGGTAGACTGTGCCTTGTTAGGGGTTGTAACTGTGACATCTGGTAGGAGCTGAGAGAGTCAGAGCCTGTGAGAGTACTTGGCCTGTGATGAGCACTCCAGGGGTGGGGGGAGGGGTGTGGGGGGGAGGTGAGATGTGTGAGTGTCTCTCTGGAACAGCCTCTTGTCACAGAGACTGGGGGCATCTCGCCCAGTTTACCCAGGGCACAAGGAGGCTTCTCAGCCCTCTTGCCCCCTTCTGCTCCACTGAGGACACAAGCACCATCTTATACACACTCTGACCCAAGCTCCTTTGGTGCTCTTTAATAATGATTATTACTATAAGCAATAATACATTAGGAAAGGTATCTTCTCTCAGAATTAAAGGGGAGCAGAGGGTGTGAGGGGTCCCCATGGGAAGGCAGCCTAGCCTAACGATCCAAGTCCCAGTTCCTTCTCCTGCTAAGGGCAGTAGAAGTTGCTTTGTGGCTGTAGGTGAGTTCCCTCCTCCTCTGGGCTCCACCTCCCCCCATCTCTCTACAGTGGGGCTAACAGCAATGCTGTGAAGGACTACCGGATGTCAAGGTTGAGCTAATATTTTTCCTTTGTCTGGACCTGTTTTGGGGACAGGAGGCTTTGATAAGCCTAAAAGGATGCACCCATCAAACAACATTGGCAGGAAAATAAAGAAAAATCTGAACAAGATGAAGGCAACCAGGACAGTTCTTCTTGGACCAAATATAGTTAAACATTTGGGGCATATTTTCCATTAGATTTTTTTTTTTTTTGTCTGCGAATAAGAGCAGCTATTTATCCAAGTCCTCAGAGCAGGCTGGGGATGGGAACTGTCTGTGATTCCTGCTGGCTGCTAGAGGACCTGGAGTGTGTCCAGGCCTGGCTTGGCTGCCAGTGGCCCTTAGAGAGATGTGTGTGACTGAATTCAGTCAGGATTGGGGGTGATTTTCTCATAGTACTGCTGCCAGGAAGGCAGAGCGGGTCCCAGTTCTGACCACAGAGGTCTTCCTCTCTGGCCACAGGGGCACCGGGGTGAAGGGCCAGTGGCACAGGGGCGGGTTAAGGTAGGGAGGTGACTGCCAGTATGGCTGTGAGGTCCTCTTTGCATACCTGGCTGTTTGCTGCTTTCTCAGATTCGAGGTTATAAGAAAAAAAAATGAAGGAAAGAAGAAAGAGAGAGACAGAGAGAGGAGGGCGGGCGGGCCGGAGGAAAAAAGAAGTGAAAACTCATGAAATCCAAATAAGGTCAGCGTTTACTCCATAGTATGGTATCAATGTCAATTTCCTGGTTTTGATCATTGTACTTTGGTTATGTAAGGTGTTAGCATTGGGAGGAGCTGGAGGAAGGGTACATAGGAACTCTCTGTACTATTTTGTAACTTCTACGGGAGTCTACAATTATTTCAAAATAAAAAGAAAAAAAAAAAAAGCCACCAGGAATGTGAACCTGGTCTTGTGAACTCTGCAGCATCGAGGGCCCCCGTGTCCTTTAAAACCAGACGCAGGCCTCAGGCTAGGCACCCTCCAGTCCTCACGCAGCCCGTGCGCTCTGCGGAAACGTGTGTAGCACAGTGTCTGGCACAGAGTAGAAGCTTGACAACCATTAGCCAGTGTCATCATAAGATCCCCATTTTCAATGGATGAAGCAGAGCCTCAGGGAGCTGAAGTGACTTGGCCACATCACACAGCTGAAAAGTAGCTGTAGTTAACTTTGATTCCGCATGTCCCACCTACAACTTTCAACTTCACTAGATTCCTCTGCTGTTATTTTGACAAGGATTACTTGCAAATACTTTCCAGAACTTTTAAGTGGGGTCTGACCTGTCCCCCAGCACCATCATCCTGTGCATTTCTCTTTTCCCATCTCTTCTCTGACTGGGAGCAAGAGGATTGTTCTTGGGGAGGCTTCCTGGGGGCCAAGTACTGTGGTCAGAGGGACCCCTTTAGAGAAGCATGGGGGTGCGGGAGCTGCAGCTTATCAAATGAGGCTTCTGCTGCTCACTGTGGGCCGCATACTCTATCCTGCCAGCTTGGTGGGTGCACCCACAGCACAGTCCCTGTGGCATGTTCTACAAGTGACCCCTGATGCTCTGAGCCTGACAGGTGGAACAGCAACTCAGTAGGAAGTCCTGCCCAGTCCTCCCTGTGCATGAGAGCCAAGGCCTCTCCAGTGGTCCCAGATCAGCCAGCCCTGGAGCAGATCCCACAGGGCTGCACAGGAGTCCAGTGGAGGAAAACTCAGCCCCATCCCCATCAATCCAGTGGCCTGCCCTGCCCCTGACCTAGCTGGCTGTCTGTGTTGCAGAGGATACCTACAGCTCTGAGGAGACCGTGGACCACCAGCCTGTCCACCTGAGGGTCATGGACACTGCAGACCCGGTAATATTACCCCCATGACCCATAAGATCTCAGAAGCAATGCAACCTCCTGAGGAATCCTGGGGCCCAGCACTGGGGCCTTTAGATGGGAATGCATGTCCCTTTTAAGCTCCAGTTTGCTATGAGACCCTGAATGATGTGCTAACCTCTCTGGGCCTGAATCTCTTCATTTGTCAGAAAAGGGAATGATGGAATCTGGGGAGACCTGATGATTGCTGGTCTCACCTCCAGCATCATGTGCTCTAGGGCTTGATGTTTGTGCACACGCAAACACAGGTGCACACGCACATATTCATAGATGCTCCCTCGGCCCAAGTCTCCCCACCCATATAACATGTCCCTTATATCTTCGGCACCCCTCTGCCAAGGCTGGATGCCAGTTATTCTCAGAAGCCAAAGAGGCACCATACACCTGGCTCAAAACCATGGGTGCTCAGGGACAGTCAGGTCTCTATAGGGGCCATGCCAGAATCTTGGCTCCATGCCCAAGAGGCCAAGGTCTCCAAGTCTCTGGCGGGTGGTAGGAGGGAGGCTCATGAGACAATGTCTCTTTTCACAGCAAGCCAAATCCACACTCCAGTGCCTCTTTGAAAAGGGCAATGCGGGGGAACAATGTACAAAGACAGGAGGGCTGGGGAGGTAAGATGAGGCCACTCAAGTGAAAACCTTCACCCTGACCTCCTCTGCCCCTGACCTTGGCTTCCCTCCTTTGCCCCAGGACACTCCCAGGAACTGTGAGCGCTACCTGAACTGGGCCCATGCCTTCTTGGTGGTGTACAGCGTCGACAGTCGCCAGAGCTTTGAGGGCAGCAGCAGCTACCTGGAGCTGCTCGCTCTGCACGCCAAGGAGACACAGCGTAGCTACCCAGCTCTGCTGCTGGGCAACAAATTGGACATGGCACAGTACAGGTGAGCACTGCGCAGTTTGTTCCGTGTCTTGGAGTTGACTCACCTCGTTTGTAAAGGCCCAGTGTCATCTTCAGGGATTATTTGGCTGCTAAGAATAATAATCTCCCAATTTAAAAGGGGTGTGGTATAAAGATACAGTGGGCCTGGTCTTCCTACCAGCCAAGGACAGTGGGTAGGGCATCTGGACCACACAGGGCCTGGACCCCAAAGTCAGAACAGAGGCCACTGCTTCCACAACCTTGTCTTCCCACTCCCTGCAGCTGGCTGGTGATTTAGTGCCCAATTCATATTCTGGGGAGAGAGGGCTCTTTGGGTCAGGTGACTGGTCTGGTGCAATCAGCTCTCACCTCACGCAAACATGCCCTTCCTGCTTACCACCATCGTTGGCCGTGCTGAGGGCAGGTTCTTCTAGAAAGGGTTGAACTTGAGTCAGAGGTCATAGATTGGGCCAAAGGGCAGATTATCACTGAGTCCACAGCCTTATTTTACTTGGCCAGCAGAGTGTTTTAAAAGACCTGCAACTAGAGTGTTTCAGGCAGGGCATGTTTTTACCAACTGACCACAGGCCTCACCACTCTCTGTTGCTTACCTCCCCACTGAACACACATTCAAGCTGCCCGCCTGGCCCCTGAGGCATTAGAGACTTTGCTCTTTCCACTCGATGAGTAATTCCACTGGCCATCTATGTGGCCAGTCCACTCACAAGGTGTGGCCCCTTTCACCAGCCTTTTGTTGGTGCCTTCCTGCTTATGGGCAATCACTGCTGCAACCCCAAGCCCTAAAATTCTGTTGACTGGTGTTAGCAAGGAAGGGACACTTGATATAGAATGGGTATATGGGCAGCAGGAAAAGGAGGGTGCAGTCTCTTTAAGGCAACAGTAGGGGCCTTCACAAGCTGTCAAGCGTTCAGACTCAATGAGGCAAGCCAAAAGGTGGTCTTTGAAGAATCACAGAACCTGCAGAGCTTAGGAGAGGGGTTAGAAGGGTAGTTATTGTGAATAAACTTGTTTTCAATATGAGAAAAAAAACTCTAGACCACCATTTTGATCCTAATCTTTGCCACATAGATTGTATAAAAATGGTTTAGGAGCAAATAACAAAGGCTATGGGCCTCAAAGAAAGTGGCATCACCCCTTAAGAAGTAGTCAGGACGATTTATCCTCACTTCCTTCTTTGATCACGTCCCAAGCTTAGTAGATTAGGATCCAATGGGCACAATAAATCTCACTTTCAGTAGAGCATTGGTGATGTCCCCCAGGATCCCCTTGTAGCTAAAGGGTCAAGTGTGGGCTAGAGCAGTGGTTCCCATTACCACTGATAAAATTTTCACTAGACTGCAACAAAATTAGAAAATAGACAGTATTACATGTCTGTGTCACCTGTTCGTACACATGCATGCACACAGGGGGTTCTTGTTTCTGAAGTTTCATATTCCAGCCTCACAATGACAGAGTTTCAGATTCAGGTTCATCATAAAATTAAATAATAGCAACTAGTATTTCAACTGGGGCTCCTCAAGAAGTGCTAAACTCACAGACAGCACTCAGCTGTCTCTCAGCCTGGGCAGAGAGTGGATTAGATGCTTTGCCTCAATCCTTTATGTCCTAGGCACTCTGTCCTCTTATACTGCTGGGGCAGCTAGCCCACCCCGCCTCAATCCTGGCCCCTGTTAATTTACCTTTTCCCACCAGCACCCACCCTTATCCCCTCTCATCCCCAGGGCTATGCCACTGTCCTCAGGAATGGCAGGGGCGGGGAAGTGGGGGGCGGTATGCAGGGAGGGGAGAGAACCACTTAGCAGTGGGATTCACTCACTGGAAACTTGGCCAGAGACCTCTGTGCCTTCCCTCTTCTGACTTACTCGAGAATCAGACTTATTTTTCCTCTCACTTCAATTCTCGTGGCTTTCAGATCAAAAGCTTCTGGGACCTTCCTATTGATAAATATTCGATCCCACCATCAGGGGAGGTGGTCTAAGACCAAGCTGGGAAAGGTCTACTCCTCTCTCCTTTTCCTCCTCCACCCATGAAATGTTGTCACCCTTTTTCTCTCTGCCCCTTCCTGGACGGACAAGCAAAACTCGCCATGAGCCCTGACAGCTCTGCCAAGCACAGGCGTCCCGACTCTCCTTAGCCCTCCATGCCTCTGTAGACCCTGTGCGCTCTCACCCTTCAGCTCAGACCACTGCTTTTCATTAGAGCTGATCTCACAAGCCAGGGCTGAGGGTGACTCATTTCTTGTCCCAGGAACCCATGTTGGAATAGGGGAGTGATGGGGCCTTCCTCTGACCACATGGGGGCTTTGGGCCAGCTTCTCCCTTACCCTCAGCCTTGTGCCTGAATTCTAGCTTCAGTGACATTAGCCACCATTGTTGGGCACTGACTCTGTGTCAGGTACTGTGACACAAATGTCGTTCTTAATGCTATTAACAACCCTGAGAGGCAGATGTCATCTCATTGTACTAGTGAGAATACTGCACTTCAGAGAGATGACAATGGCTCCAATCACTGAGCTAGTTAAGTGGGCCCCCGGGGTAGCCCAGGCCTGCCTGACTGGGATGCATGCTCCTGACCCTTCCTCACCCTGCTTCCCCACCAGGCAGGTCACTGAGGCAGAGGGTGCGGCCTTGGCAGGCAGGTTCAGGTGCCCTTTTTTCGAGGTCTCTGCCTGCCTGGACTTCGAGCACGTGCAGCATGTCTTCCATGAGGCAGTGCGGGAGGCACGGCGGGAGCTGGAGAAGAGCTCCCTGACCCGGCCCCTCTTCATCTCTGAGGAGAGGGCCCTGCCCCACCAGGCCCCGCTCACTGCCAGGCATGGGCTGGCCAGCTGCACCTTCAACACACTTTCCACCGTCAGCCTGAAGGAGATGCCTGCTGTGGCCCAGGCCAAGCTGGTCACCGTGAAGTCTTCCCGGGCCCAGAGCAAACGCAAGGCACCCACACTGACCCTACTGAAGGGCTTCAAGATCTTCTGAGGGCCCAGAACAAATGCAAGGCACCCACACTGACCCTACTGAAGGGCTTCAAGATCTTCTGAGGGCCCCTCCTCGGCATCCCAGGCTCAGCGCTTGGGCAGCGCTGCAGAACACAGGATGGGTTTTTGCCACCTACTTTCCCATTGATGGAACAATAGCCTTCCCCCTGGTGAACAGCTGACCCCCGCCGGCAGCAAGCAGTATCCTGACTCCCAGTTCACTGTGTGAGCTGGAGGGGTAGGCTGGAATGTTGCTCATATTCCCTCAAAGCTCTGGTTTCCATGGTAACCAATGCATTCCCTGACCTTGGAGGGAAACAGCCACTGCAAGAACCCAGAGTCTGGGGGTCAGCCTTAAGTGGGAGGAAATCACCTCTTCCTGGTTCAGTTAGTGTCGGGCCAGATGTGACCCCCGGTGGAAAGTTTCAAGTGGACAGCTCCAGGAGGCCCTGCAGAAGTGTAGCCAGAGACCATCCTGCCAGAGAGGAGGCCGTGAGGGCCTACAACCCCTGATGGACAGGAAGGGCACTGCCTGACTTCACAGAAGCCCCAGGCAAGGACTGTGGCTAACAGACCCTGCAATTTATCCAAGTAAAATCTAAAATAATCCACTGACAGAAGCAAAGTGCCAGAAGGGCTATTTCCTACACTTTGCCACTAGATGACAGTGGAAAGAAGGGGGTTAGAGGTAGCCCAGGGGAGGGAACCTCCCCCAGAGGCAGTGGTCCCATATTTTCCCACCTTAAATTAAGGACTCGGCCCACAGACCCTTAGGACCAGCCTTCTTAAAGGATGAAAACTGTGAACAAGGTTGGTCTCTCCAGCGATAATTGCCCGGGACTCCAGGGAGCCTACAACTGGCTGTGTCAGACACCCAGCGGGCACTATTGGATGGCTACTAATTTGTAATCTGGTCCTGCAGGCCCAGTATCCTTGCAAGAGAGTCTGCATATTCAAAATTCACTTTTGTAAGATAGAACCCAAATTATTTTTGATTCATAAATCAAATTTCTGCCTAAATTATTTGGGATTGCCACCCCAGCCTACACAACACTGTGACTCAGACTGAAGATCACGTCCCTCCCTTGGGATCCCAGGGTTAGCAAGAGAAGGAAGGTTTTTAGAGGCAGGGCACCCTACCATTTCCTGACTCTACTGAGGGGGCCCATGGCCCAAAGGGAGTTGTTCATGAGCCCTCAGCAGATGAGCAAGTACAGGAGAGCGGTCTTGGGGGTGGAAGGAACAAGACAAGAAGGGGATTCTGAGCCCAGAGTCCTGAGCCTTTCCCTCTCAGCAGTTGCAAGAGCTTGGATTGAAAACACCTCTGACCCAAACTTCAGTCCCATTCTATAGATGGAGAAACTGAGGCGGAGGGAAGCTGCGAAGTCCTCAAAACCACATGAGGAATCTTGGCCAGGCCTCCTGACCCACAGGCCAGCTATGGATTTTGTGCTTTTATTTTAAGCCATTTATGTGAGGAACACCACCATCTGAACAAACTAAACAATTCCATCTGCCCACTTCCAGAAGCATTTCAATAAAAAGGTTTCGTTATCATAACAGAATTTTCATTTGACTGCAGTTCATTCATCTTCTAACAATGTGGGGGCACTAGGTTTCAGATTCTTCTGGATCTGGGAAGAGAATACCGGACACTTTGCTCTCTTTTAACTCAGTTTCCATCTGGGCCAAGTTGGGTTTTACTGAGAGCAAAGTTTCTGTCACCAGGTTCTGGCTGTTGTTATCTTTGGTTTCTGCCTCATCCAAGCAGGGAACTTCTGGAGTTTGTTTTTCCCGTGGCATCATCTTTTGATTTCTGAGAGGAGAGAGAACACTCTTGAATATGAATTCCCTGGACTGGGGTGCTGAGTAGTGGGGACAGGACTGGGTCCCCCAAATTAGTTAGGGGGCCTGAGGAAGTATTGGGGGAGAAAGTAGAGATGGTTTGCTGTTTTTTGGCAGAGAAACAGCCGCTGGTGCATCGGCTCACCCAAGCCTCTTTGTCACTGGTGAGCTCAACTATTACTGCTACTACTCCCCTTCCAGGTGAGGAAATGCGGCTCAAAGAGGCCAAAGAAGAACATAGCTGGGACACACATTTAAGTCTCATGACTCTGAGTCCTGTTTTCTTGTCACCAAGCCACAACTTTTCTCAGATCTGTCATCCTTCTGAGAGCAGGTCCTTGTCACCCCACATCCCACCACCATCCTCTCTCCACCCTGACAGATCACAGCAAGAAATTCCTAACTAATCTCCTTGCCTTTCTCCAGACCATCCCATGCATTCCAGTCTTGTATCTAAAGCCCCATGTGCACACATTGGTGGCAAAGAGGCTTGGGTGAGTCTCCACAATGGCACAGACCTTCCTCCTCCTTCCTTGAGCTTGATGCATGCTGCCTCTGGGTCTGAAAGGCTTCTTCAGTCCATCCTTCTCTCTTTGCCCCAAAGGACGCCATCCCACCTGTGCTGCCACTACACCTCAGTCCCACACTGACCATGTGCCACTCAGAAGTGCTGTCATCTCCCCACCATACGTAAGCTCCACAAGGCCAGGGCTGGATCTATCTTGCCCACTACTGTGGACCCCACTCTCAGTGCAGAGCCTATATTTTTAATATTTCTTCCAGGTGATTTTGTGGCATATCAGGATCAGAGAGTACTGTCATTGTAAGATGTTATAATTACCCCAGAAGCCTCCGTGGACCTCAGGTCTCTATGCTTTGCATCTGGCTTGGAGTAGGACAAGGCTTACCCTCTCATAGCATCCCTAACTCTGCAGTAGGGTGCTTGGTAGCACCACTGGGCCCTCCCCACACCCTGAGAAGGAAGGAGTTAGTTATCACCCAACCTGATTTGGAGGTAGGGAGTGTCTTGCCCAGCTAGTGAATGGCAGAGCTGGGATTTGAGCCCAGGGCTGTGCGACCTCCTGAGGCAGGGAATCTAACCTCTGCAAGATATCAGGCCTGCCTTGCTTGTTGGCCAGGGCCAGGGGCTGGTAATTGGTGATAGTTGCTGGTTTTTCAACAGCTGTGGGTTCTCAAGGGACCCTGGGTCCTTTGCTGTCCCAAAGGGTGGAGAGCCAAAATCCCAAGATGGCTCCTTTCTAGATTTCCCTTGGAAGGGTGGGGACCCCCACCCTCCAGAGACCATTCTAAACAACTCCTTACCTGTTTGCTCGGATGCTCCTTACCAGGAGGAAGATGCTTATCGCGATCACCACGCTTGCCAGAACAAAGATGGAATAATTCCATGGAGACGCTGGGGAGGGACACATAGGACAGAGTCTTGAGGAGAGGTTGGGTGCCCCTCAGGCCTGCAGACAGTTGGGGCTTGGGCTCAGACCCAGCCCACCGCATCAACTGTCCCTTGCTGTGGACCAGGTATTGTAGAGAGACTCCAAGACAAGCCTCCTGGCCTGGGAACTCCAGTGTGGGGGAAAGGGGGAGACCATTTCTGCTCTGGAAAAGACCTAAGTTAATGGGGGATGACAGCACTGCAGTTGGGTAATAGTGGGGCAGGGGTGGAGAAGTGGGTCAGATAAACGCCCCAGTCTTCAGAAGGCTGGCCCTATGCAATGCAAGGAGAGGAAGGATGATCTGCCCACAGATAATATATAAAGTGGCTAATCTAAATTTAGGTAATCAAGAGTCAGCCACACGTTACCAAAATGACCTCAGAGCTTTTGCATTTACTGTTCCCGCCACCAAGAGAGAATGTTCTCCCCTCCCCCCTCCATTAATATGCATGGCTAATTCCTCTCCCTCCTGAAAGCCTTTATTCACAGGTCACCTTAGTGAGGCCTTTCTTGACCCTTTTACCTACTCTCACCCACACTTCTTCCCCTCCCCTTTAGGCCAAGCATTTTTGTGTTTTTTTCATTATTTTATTTTATATATTTTTTACATCATCTTTCATTTTTGCACAATGTATGCATTTTCATCTTGGTTATATTCTCCATACAATTCCCACCCCCCTTATTTTGACCCTAATCCCTCCCCCCCCCCCCCCCCCCCCCGCCGTAGTGTGTCTCTGGTTTATAGTTGCTGGTTGATTTTGATTTTTACTTTATTATAATTAGTCTTTTTCCTGGTCCCTTATTTAGGTTTTCTAAATTCCTGCTATGAGTGAGACCATCCGGTATTTTTCTTTTTCTTTCTGGCTTATTTCACTGAGCATGATCCCTTCCAGCTCCATCCATGTTGCTGCGAATTGCATGAGTTTATCTTTTTTGATTGCTAAGTAATATTTCATTGTGCATATGTACCACATCTTCTTGATCCAGTTATCTATTTTTTGGGCATTGGGTTGTTTCCATAGCTTACCTATTGTAAATAGTGTGCTATAAACATAGGGGTGTCACCCACACTTCTATTCCCTTTTTTCTGCCTAAGTTTTCTCCTTATTGCTCATCACCAAGGTGCTATGCATTTTCCTTGTTTATTTTCTCTCCTCACGGGGCTAAGATGTTTATGTTTTATTCACTACTGTAATTTCACTGCTAGGAACAGCACCTGTCCCACAGAAGCTGGCTCATCCATAATCATCTCACTGTGGCTCCTGCTCCTAGAAGGAATTTAATAAGTAGTCCTAGAAGATTAGAAGGATGAGTACATGAATGACCACGCCCTGAGAAAAGGAGGGTGTGGTTCAGCCAAACCATTCTGGATACTGAACCCAATCCCCATCCCCAATCCCCACCCCGCCCCTCAGTGCCAGTTTGGAGGAACCTGCAGTCTGCCTGAAGGAGGAGTTTGGGTCAGGGGGCTTCTGCCAAATTCTGCTCTTTTAGTTGAGAAAACACACACACACACACACACTTCCCTGCCACTTACCATCTTCTACCCGAAAGACCCAAAGCATTTCTTTCAGCAGCTCCTGGGGAACCTCAGTGCCAGCTGGGGCTTCCATAATCATTTCACTGTGGCTCATGCTCCTGCTCCCAGTTAGGGGACTTTTCTGACAACGAAGTTCTTAGACCCCTTCACCCTCCAGCTGCCCTCCTGGCCTACTGCGTTCTGATTTTTGAGCAAAGCTCTGATGATCCCTGGGAACAAAGCAGAAGGCATAGCTGGATTATTCCATCCTAGAATGACTTCTCCCAGCCCCTGCCCAAAACCACTCCCCTTGAGCCCAAAGTCACAGAGCCAAAGCAGCCCCAACTCAGGAACAGGTGGGGCCTGGAAAGGCAGAGATCATAGCATACAGAGACTCTGAATGCTATGAATGCTCTTGGGTTCCCTCTCCAACTGTCAGTCTGGAGCACCTTCTAAGAAAGGTGGTGGCTTTCTGTCTATTCTCACATGCAGGAATGCCTGGATTAGTCAGTCACATCAGCCATGGGCCTCTGTAACATTTGCAGACCTCCCCACAACCACAGAGAGGAGAGTGGAGGTAAAGACACCAAACACTGACTCTAGGTAGGTGGGGTGGGGCCTAGACACCTGGGATGTTCATTTACAATTTGAGAGGGTTCAGAGTCTACTAATCTGTAAACTCATTTTCTTCTCAGTTCTTTTTGGATATAAAAAGCAAATGCTCTGGTCATTTCTCTAGGTCCACATCTACACATACAAAATTTAATTTGTTTTTTTCTCCTGTGCATCTGATTTATGTTAGTATTAATAGACCAGCAAAAGAAACTAAAAGGGGAAAAGAGAAAACTTTTTTCCCCTGTAAACACTTCTGTACCACAAACATTTCTTGTGAACACACAATATCTTCATGGAAGCAATTCACATAATTAGTTTTACATGTATGTAAAACTTGTCTGTATGTGTTTTTAAATGTGTGAGTATTGGACCTACACCTTTTGAGATAATTCCAATTTTGAATGGTTAATTAATGGAAATAATCTAGATCTCAATTCTTCCCAACTAGATCCATAGATTCAGTGTAACCCTAATCAAAAATCACAGCAAGCTGATTCTGAAGCTTATATGGAGAGTTAAAAGATTCAGAATAATTGAAGGAGAAAAACTAAGTTGGAGGATTGACATCACGTGACTTCAAGGCTTCCTATAAAAGCTACAGTCATCAAAATAGGGTGGTATTGGAATTAATCAGATAAATGTACAAACTGCCAGGTGGGCTGAAGTCCAGGAATGTACATTTTGAATATGTTTAAATATGGATAATGTTTGTTTCAATAAACATATATCAACAACAACAAAAGCAAGGTGACAAGATGACTAAAAGGCCAGAGCCTTCCCTGCCTGTGTTAGATGTCACAAGAAAAAGCAGACATTTCTCTCAGAGCCCTTCTCTGGTTTGCTTCTAGAGTGAGCATCATATTAATATCTCTGCTTTTGTGCTTATCATTAGCAGAACTTCCTGACATTTATTTGGAGTTCACTCATTTCCCATTAATGCCTTTTTCTACTCCAGCATCCCCTCCAGATTACATTGCATTTGGTTGTCCTGTCTCCACAGAAACCCCTACCCCTCCCCCACCCCGGGAGACTTCTACATTTAAGCAGGACCTAAGCATGTACCACTGGGCTGTGATTCCTGCCAGAAAACCTGGGCTGCCCATCCCCGTGGGAGTTGAGGACACTTACCCTGGATCCTGGGTTCCTAGGTCTGGCCCTGGTCTGCTGTTGAGAGCAACACAGATTTCTGTATCTTCTCCTCCTCCTCACGGAAGTTCTAGATGGTCTTTGCACCTGAGCTCTCCCCACAGCTGTCACCTGGGGAGCAGTGTCTAGAGTCTGTGGCTTCCGGGCCCATCTGGTACTCTGCTCTTAGCACACGCCCAGGCCTGGAGCCTTCTCTACCACTTGGAGGTGACTGACCGCTTGAATGAGTGGCCTCAGATAACAGGCTCCACCTGACTTTCACAATCTGAAAGAACCAGGAGTCCACTGCTTTCCTTCTTATACAGAGGGGAATAGGATCCTCTTGCCAGCCCAGGGGAATAGGGTCTGAACAGGCTGTGCCCACTCTGGTCCTCTATTTCCTGGTCTTATCAATATTTAACCATAAGCAGAGCTTTTGCAGCCTGTGCTTTCTCACAGTGAAGGTCATCGCCTCACGTGAATTCCTCACAGAATCTAGCAAATAAGACCTCTGGAGAGCTAGGGAGGCAGGGAGACCAGGCAAGTCAGGCTCTGTAAATGACCCCAAGCCGAGGAAGAAGGCCAGATAGAAAAATCCTGGTAGTGGGCTCGAGGGGGAGCAGGAGTGAGGAACTTGCCCCATCAGTTCTGAACCACTCAATTCTGATCTTCTGGGAGCTTTGGGCTTTCCTACCCCCTGGTTCCTTGAATCTCCAACAATCTTTGTAGTTGGCTCAGCAAGGAGTGGAGTTCCCACATCACAGATGGAAGAACAGAGGTTGAGTGAGGTCAGATGACAGGTGAGTCACTCTATGAGCTAAGCTCCATGAGTTAAGCACTGGTCAATAAAGTGGGGGACCCTGTGGTGCGAAGGAAGAGACCTGACAGGGATCTGCAAGGATATCCTCACGATTTTGTCACTCATTCATTCAATATTACTTGAGAACATACTGTGCGGCTCTATAGTCAACAAGAAAATCAGGAACAGGCTCTCCTGGAGCTCACCTCAAAGGGGATAAACAGACAACAAAAAAGCAAACAAAAAAGATAAATAATTTTAACTAGTGACAATTTCTACAAATGATTTATACAACAAAATGATAAAAAAGAGATGGGGTGGAAGAGCTAAGAGTATTTTATTACTGTGTTGAAAAATGAATGACAAGGAGTTAACCATGCAAAGCCCTGGGACAGAAAATAAGATGCAGAAGCCCTGAAAAAATAACGAGCTTAATGAGTTTGGGAAACTAAAAGGACCAGGTAGCTGCAGCACATGATGAGGGGGAGGGGCCTGGAATAAAGTTGGAGGGGAGACAGAGCAGATGGAGCAGAGTCTTGTAAGATTGGATAAGGAGTCTGGATGTAATGAGAAGTCACGGGGAGGTTTGCCTCAGGGAAGTGACAAGATCTGATTGACATTTATCTAAGATCACGTGGCCTTCTGGGTGACAAGAAAGAACTAGAGAGGAGCTGACCAACTTCACCCAGACCAGACGGTGGTAGTTTGGATCCAGGGGAGAGGGTGAGCAATGGTGAGATTCAGGGTGAATTTTGGAGAGAAAGGCAGCTGATAGATTTCAAGAGAAAGGAACTCCACACGAACTCTCAAGCACAATAGGAATTTATTGGCTCATATAACTGGGAAGAGCAGGGTGGAGCTGACCTTAGGAAAAGCTGAGCCACGAGTCTGAAGTTCCTCAGCTCTAAGTCTCTCCTTCTCTGCCCACCTCTCTCTGGGTATCAGCCTCATTCCCACAGCAACTGCGGGGACACACACTTACCGTTGGAGGAAGGGGGTCCTATTTCTCAGATCCAGTTGGGCAATTCCTGGGAAAGGACTCTAAATGTCCTGGCTGAGTCATGTGCCCACGTTTGGATCAATTGTTATGGATCATTGCGTAGCCAGGAGAGAAAGGCCGTGAGCTGCGTGGTGCGAGCTCCAGTGTGGTTTCCTAATGTGACCCCTGACCACAGTCCTCCCTGTCTGCCTTGGAGGAGTATCATGGGGCACTTAAGAGGGTTGTATCCTCTTTAAGAGGAATGAACCCCACCCCAAGTTTTCCACTCTTCTGCCTGTTTCTTTTCCTTCCTCTTCTTACCCTTGCTCTCTCTCTCTGCTCTAACTCATCCAGTAACTGTTACTTCATGCCGACCCAGTCATTATTTTAGTGGTGAACAATCACAGGTAGAGTCTCTGGCCATGGACACTGCAGTCTATTGGGAAGGCAGAGGGTGATGCCAGGGATCTCGTCGTGATGACTGCTCTGTGGCAAGTGTCAGAAAGGAAACAGACCCACAGAAATGAGAGCACACCACCAAGCTTCTCTTTCTTGTTCCTTTAAATATCATGTCTGGATGAAATAATTCTACCTTGAACTCTCCTTTCCTGACTTCTCCAGTCCCTTGTTTCTATGTTTGGAAAATAGTGGGCAATTAGTAGTGGAGTGGAGCAGAGAGGGCTTCTGGCTTTTCCCTGTTCTTCTAATATCTGTCACTCATAATCCTGCTTGTCTCAAACTTAAATGTCATCTTCTAAGGGAAGATTTCTATGTGACTTAAAAATTGCATTTGGCTCTGGGTAACAAGACCCAATTTCAATAGTTGACACCTGAGGGCTTAATTTCTCATATAAGAATTTCAGAAGTAGCCAGTTATTGATGATAGAAATGCTAGAAAATCAGGGTTAAGGTTTCTGAGATTCCCTCATGGTCTTAAAATGGCTGATGCAGCTCCTGCCATTATGTCCAAGTTCCAAGGGGAGGAAGAAAAGCAAAAAGAACTGGTCATTGAGTATAATGGATGAATAATCTACCGGAGAATAAATCCAGACAATACAAAGAACTACAGAGTTCTAAAACTAAAGAGTCTAAATGTTCAAGAACAGGAGAAGGGTTCCAATGGAACTGCATAATTCTTTCCAGGGCCAATTTTAATTTAAATTCAGAGGAGTAAAACGCAATATAATTAATGAGGGTATTTTTGGAAAAGGCAGGGCAAGATACTGGTGCTTCATCAATTACTTGATGTCCCCATCTGCATTAGGGTGGTTGAGAGGTCGGTGGACAACCACTTGGAAGTTATTTTTATGTTGAAGTTAGATGACCTCAGTCATCAAATGCTTGTTCCACAGACATATTTTCTTGAAAGTATTTCAGAGACATTTTCAAAGTATTGGAAGTTGGGGCAGAAACCTGTGAAACAATGAACCAAAGTATGTACTTTCTCCAAGAGAGAACATTCTATAGCCACCACCTTCATCTCTTTCATCTTACCTATTTTATTTGAGACTTTCTATGTCATTGACCCTTATTTCGAATCTTAATTCTTTCTATGCCTTTGACCCCTTGCTCCTGGTTATAGTGTAACTAAATGCCTCCATCAGTCCAGGAATAAATCAAGGTCCAAGGGTAAAATAAAATCAAAGTCTATCAGTCTTTCATTTTATTTCTATGAGGCACTTGAAGTTTAACCACTCCTATACACCACACTCTTTGAATAGCTACATCTTGAAGATGAATTGCTCTATACTATGTTTGAGAAATGTCAAACAACTTGGTAAGTAAACATTATGTGCTAATTTGTTTGAATTTTGCTGTTCTCACCTTTCAAAAGCAGACAGCCTTTGGGGGACCTCAGTGGCATACAGTGCCCCCCTGTTAAAGGAAACACTTCAGATAGTTTAATCAGAACTATTTAGTCAAGGTTTTATTACAATCTTGTTGTAAGGGGAAAGACCTCTGGTAGTTTCAGTTGAGAAATTCACTTTAGGTGAATGGTTGGATAATCATTGTTAGACCAGATTGTTTTTGTTAAAGGAAGACTGTTCAATTAAAAGTTCACTAAGACTCTTGGTTGATGTAGGATAGGTGGGCAGTGGGTGACCAGTTTTTTAAACATGTCTTAATCCTCTTTAAGTTTATCTTCTTAAAGTATTTTTAAACATTTTTACCAAAAGATGTATTTGCTTTTCCGGAAGAAAATTCCTGCTTTTGGCTCATATAACTTTTTTTTTTTTTTTTTTTTTTTTTTTTTTTTTTTTTTTTTTATAGAGGCATGTTTATTTATTTATTTGTTTGTTTGTTTGGTTTTTGTTTATACATGCACTGGGTACAGTCAGAAGCGCGGGAGGGTGAGAGAATTCACCAGAGCCAGAGCGGGGAGCAGAGCAGGCAGAAGGACCAAAGTACACTGCTGAGGGGAGCAGCGGGCCGCAGGAGAGGTCCGCGGGCCATGTGGGACCCTCCTCCGGTGGCCGGGGAGCAGCCGGGGATCGAACCGGCGCCGCAGAGGCTGCGGGCAGCTTCGCAACCCAGCGCTCAACCGCTGCGCCACCGGGGAGGCCCTCATATAACTTTTAATTATCTGTCTTAGTTGGACAAAAAAAAGACATGATTTCTTTATCTCTTTATGTCAATTAAATGTCTTGTTAATCATTTTTAAAATTTTTTATTTTTTACATTTTTTAAAACAGGAGACATGTAAGCATACAAAACATACACAAAGGTCATTGCCAGAATTATTTTTATTTACACTGATATTATTATTCTTTTAATATGGCTTCCTTATTTGGGAGGAATTTCCAAATAAATACAGGATGCGATTCAGTCTGGGGGTCACTATTTCATGTAGCTTGTGTGCTTGAATTATGTGTGATTCTATGCGTCACAAACTAATTAAGAAGTGGGGAAAGAGGTTTCTATAAGTGCACAAGAACCTCCTGGTGACCAGAATTAGAGCCAAAGGATTGGAAACAGAGCCTTAACTCATGCCCATATGTTTTACACAACCTTAGGGTGGGACTGTGTGGGGAGTGCTTCCTACTGACCTCATCAGGGGGTTGTCTGCACCCCAGCAGGTCTAGTCATCAGTTTCCAAATCTCTCCCCCTGCTCCATAAAGTTTGTCGATGTTTCTAGAAGTGGCAACCTTTACTACCTGTAAGGTTCTAACTCCATCAGTCATTTCCTTGAAGGACTTTACAGCATCATTTGCTTATATGAAGTATAGTTCTTGTTCCTCATCTGTGGGACAGTTTAAACCTCATATTTTCAACAGAATCTCTGAGTCTCTCCCAAGGGATTGTTTTACAGATATGGCATGAAATTTTGCAGGTTTTTTATAGTTAGGAAAAGGACATTTTTAAAGGAAAACTTTATTTTGATTAGCTTAACCCAATTTAAAATGAATTGTAATTTTTGGAAGCATCATCCTTAAATTCATCTGAGTATTCACTCAGATTTTCCATTTACAATTGTCTGCAGGGTCTGTCCTCACAGATAGCATTTTATACATTCTGGATTCTAATGGGGTGTGGCAATGTGGGGAAGAATTCTAAGGTCTTATTCTCTAAGTTCTAAAAAATAAATGAGTAAAACTGCACAATGTTATTTGTTTCG